AATAATTGCCGGGAAAACCCTAAAAACAGTCCTTTTCTATAGAATAAAACCCTAAAACAGTCCTTTCTATAGAATAAAAGTTGGTATTGAGATTCCCTAAAAGGGATTTTTATATAATTAACAGTCCTTTTCTATAGAATAAAAGTTGGTATTAAGATTCAATCATAGTTATAGTTAAATAGTTGAATCCGAGATGGCGCGTTGAAGTGCGTTATTAGGGATTTTTTATATAATTAATTACTTTAAAATAAAATAGCAAATCTTATTGATTTTATATTAAAAACTACCGGGACAAAGTCGTGGGCAAAAGCTAGTCAAATAATAACATTTCAAAAATCAAACCATAAATCTTAATTAATTTTCTCAAAATTTTGTACTTGTAATATGAGCAAGAATCTCTTTGTTAATTTTTTATGTCATAAATTCAACATGTGAAAAACAAAGCTTCAAAATAAAATAAATAATTGGCTTTTTTAATATTGTGTGCGCAAGCATACATTTTCTATTGTTGTCTTGGAGAGAAGACACGATGAGATACAGGTATCCTAGCAACGAATTACAAGCACGGCTGGCAATATGTTATCAAAGCGTGGAGTTTGCAAATGATTGACTTTGTGTCCATTTTAATGGCATCTTTGTGCTCCACTCACGAAGCACAATAACGGCACTTACGAATCAAAAGAAGTGCATGTGATCTGCCAAACATATGAGAATTCATTTTGTCGCACAAAGCAAAATATCTTATTGTTAGAATAATAACGCAGCATTAAAAATTAGTCGAAACTTTTTTGATTAAAACTTTGTAATTTATTTCATCTGTTACACAGTTCGATTAAATCAGAAAGTAAAAAGTATTGTAAATTCTGTCCCAAATGACAGCAGAAACAATGCATTTTAAATTTTGTTATACAGAGTGTTTTCTTATGTAAAAGTAATTTTTTTTTCTTTTTATAAAGATTGCATTGTCTAACCTAACATAAACCCACTACTAATTGTGATTACGCGTCTCCCGCACATCTGGACTAGACGATTTGTCTTTGAATTGTAGAGTCGTCTAGAAAAACAATGCCCCGCAGTCCGCGTCCGCAGGGGCTGATGACGCCGTCGTCACCGCCGCCGCCGCCGCACCATATCATCCGAGTGGCTTACCACTCAACTCCGCTCGAATATAATTTCTCATTAAGTTTACGGTATACAATGTGCCATGATATATAGGAGGACAAAAGAATACGACTCTCGAGGATATCGCCCTGGCTCGAGCTCGCACATTGGGAAAGATATCGCACGCCAGAAACTCGCGGACAGATTGCGGATGCACAAATAATGAAAAGCGAATGGGAAGAATGGAAAGTAGATGGAATGAGTCGGATGCGCGTGGACAGGGCGCGCAAGCACGAGGGCAATTACACAATGAGCAAATTTAATAATTGCCAAGTGGAAAATTGGATGAGTGACTGACTGAGAATTGCGCTGCATGAAGGTAGATGAAAGCGGACGGACAGCGAGATGTTTCGAGTATGCTTGAATATTTAACGTTGAGCCAAAACAGAAATTTGTTATTTTGATATTGAATTCTTGCCAGGTTTTCTATCTCACACACCGCGTAAGCTGATACTTGTTGTGAGTTTTCATATTTCGTTATTTCATATTTCATTTCATATTTATTATGAGTTTTCTTATAAATGTCAAATTTGCCAGTTTAATTAATTTTCATTTGCTTTCCTGCCAAATCAACAGACAAGAAGAATACAATCAAAAACAATAAAATTCAAAGTTGGTGGTTTTAATTTCCATAGAAATTAAATTTAGTTTTCCAAGAAGTAGATATTTAATTATTTGATACTTGAGAAGACATCATAACCAGGAATATTAGATTAACTTTCAATATTAACATGTCATAAACTACAAACAATAATATTTGAATCCCTCACCATTAATAGTAATATCTACACGTTTGTAATTCACCGTGCTGAGTATTGTCGCTTTGTGCCTTGGTATACAATGTGATTTACCAAGTTGTTGCCTACCACGTGCGAGAAGCAGAGCGCTTAATAAGCAACCGATTGTGCGAGTACCGCTTGTCAAGCCCACCGTAATGTATTAGTTCGCATGTTATTGACGAGCATTGCTCTGTGACGATAATGATGATGATATTCGAATTTCATTTGATTCGAACGCACCAAAGCATGAAGCATGGTCACAGCGTTATGGATTCGATTGCCGAATCTAGGATTACGAGAGATGGTCTCCGGCTTTGCATTCATTATCCTACGCAGCGTGCAACAAGAGCCGCGTACGCCGGATAACGAGGGGGAATTGAATTGTTTCGCCAAGTTGATGTCGACGAGCAGACAAGACGAACGTAATACAATCTAACATAATATGGCATATTGTAAAATAAGGTTTGTTTTTATTTTTTGGTAATTATGTACCTACAGTCTGGGACAATGTATTATTATTATTTGTATTCACGAAGTAGGTAAATAATGCGATTTGTTTATTCAAATAATATTACTATTCATACCGTCTTATGTTTTTTTTTTCAATTTTTATTTCGTTAGACTGTTTTTTACAACACGACTGAAACGATTGATAAATCGATAATTGATGAATTATGAAGGGCTATAATAAGTGATTTTTGTCGTGAGTTCAAAGCTTACGTTGACGCGTCAGTAAAGAAAAGTATAAAAAGTGCGCCTTTCTTATTCATTCCTTTACATATTTGATTTGTGTCTTGATAATCTCGTCTCGTCATCGTTAGTATGCTTCAACAAATGTAAACAGTTTTTGTCTTAGTGTTTCTCGAATAAATAAAATTTTACTCAGGTTAATTTGATTGCTCGAATTTTTGTGACCAAGAAGAAGTACAGTTATATTGGTTTTGCAAAAAAAATGACAAAACCAAATATGAATACATAACAACAAATAACAAACAGAAAAATTAACGTAAGCAGGGGCCACTGGTGTTTTATTTTAAGTCTGCAATAATATTTTGTCTCTAATCACAATTTAAAGTAAATTTAAAGATATATATTACCATGTTTTGGTTTTAAGTTTTTCAAATTAAATAAAACATCCAAGCGCATAAAAAATCTAAGAAACGAATATTAATCCTTCAAAACGATTAGCCAGCAAAGAAAAGAAAATTATAAACGAGGCATGAGCTGTTTCCACAGGAAGCGATACATTACAAACGAAAGGAAAAAAATAAATGAGATTTGTGCCATAACTTGCATTCAAATGGCATCAATCTTCTTTTCTTTGTATTTAACTGTTGTATTTAGTGTACATTGTATTCCCCTAAAATAAGAATTTTTATTAAATATGAATATAAAACCAGAAGTTTTATTTCTCATTCAGATTGAAAAACAGCCATCCCTAATTTTGGATTATTGTGGAATCGTTTTTTGTATGCGTTATTAATTTATTTTAAAGATAAAACAATGTCACAAATTGTTTGAAGAAAATTATTCATTATTCAACTGTGGCATGCATAATGAGAATTTAGGGGAATATGCGATTACCAACATCAGTTTAAATCGGAGGGGACACGCAGTAAAAGAGGGTTGCATGAAAAATAGCCAAATCTTGCTTATCAATCTTTTACAGCACTTATTGAGTTGGAAAATTGTTTTCTTACCCAAATATTATTATTGCAAAATTTAACAAACACCAGTTTCTGTTGTTAAATATACAATCTGCTTAGTTTATGAATGGGCGTCGAGGTTATTATCACCATGGCGTAAACAAGCCGCCTAATGAAGACTGATGCTTGACCATGACTTTACATTGTAGACATCAGCACTTTTCGTGTTTGCCAGCTGCGCATGATGTTGTTACATTATGCCTCTGTTGTTCCTATTAACGATGCGGATCAACAAACACCTAGAAAACATCTACTCCTAGTTGGGCATTGAGTTAACTGCGGTAACAAAGCTCCATTGACTAAACGTTTGGATGTGTCGCGGTTGAAGTTGAACTTCTTGTTCTTGTTAGTCATGTTTTCGGCTCTTGGGTGTTCGTTTTGTCTTGCAGTCTGTTGTTGTGTTGTGGTAGATTTAACAATAACGTTAGAGCAGTGTTAGAATGAAAGACATGATATTCACGCTGTTTACTGTTCAAATGTTTTTGTTCCAACTCGGAGATTTAGGCTTAAATGCTGAAATGCAAAAAATGAAACTTGCAAAAAAGCATCTACCTAACGCATCAGGAATAGCAATTCAACATTATTCTTGTAAATTGAAAGTCTGGTTGTCTTCGGACGGATTGAAAACATGAAACGTGGATCATCCAGAAAGCTGAAGCAGACGATGAAGAGAATGAGAAGCCTCAACGCAAAAAAAAAACTGCTTGTGAAAGAAACGATAGAGAAAAAATAAATGGCAAATCAATTTATCAGTCGGTGCTCGAGTGAAACTTTAAATGAAACGTGAAAATTGCTGGCGGCCAAGAGGGCAGGTTTCTGGAGAAGGGCTTCGCCGACGTGGACATTCCGTTTCAAAAATTTTCACGCATGCAGGTCACGAACCAATATCAAAGCGAAAAACTGAAGGGGTGGGTGTTCCAGACAAAGCTCTGATTCTAAAGAAAAGTTCAATTTTTACTGCGAGATATTGATCTGGATGCAGCTGACAATGATTGATTGGCATCTGTTGCACAAAAAAAAACATCAGTTAAACTAAAATTGTTAATTTAGTTGATAATTAACAGTGCAGTCATTAGTATTCAAAAAGTGTATGCAAGAAGTCATTAAGTCGGAAGCAGATGATATTTTCTGAATCTTATTAGCTGTACACCCGTAATCATAAGCAACCCTTGTTAATACACTCAAACAAAATCTTGTTATCAAGAAATCTTTAATTTCCTCACCAATGAAGGGATGTAGTTAATGTTTTACACCCCTCCGAAGCAAGTGTAATGCTTTGATTAACTGATAACACATCAAAGTTTTAATTGCGCTTAAATAAGATCAAAATAATCAAAAGACAATTTTTGACAGTTTTTTTTTTATTATTTATAATGATTCATAATTCTTCATTTGTGGAATTTTCCCAGTTTGGTCCGTTGTACCAGATGTTAACAAACGATATTACATTTGATACTTGTAATTACATAGTTTTTCGTTCATTTGTTATAGCATTCGATCAGCATTATTACCATCTCTATAGTTATCTTACATACTGATATAAATATTCACAAATTTTAAAAAAATGTACAAAAACATTTAAAACCTAACTAATCTAGTTGATTATTGATTATGCTTAAATGTACATAGTTACAGCTTTTATATTTGCGGGTTCGTCACTTTCCCAAACTTACAATTAAATGCTTCTAACGTGCATTTATCTACACAATAATAGAAATATCATGATGACAGATTTTTTGAGTTGTAGGAGATGGTTATGTAGAATAGTTACAATGGTGTGTGATAATTACATATTTACAGACTTATATCAAGAGAAATTTATAGAGCTATATAGGTTTTAAGTTTTCAGTTTAGTATTCTTAGTTTAGCAACAATTTACTTGATTATGATTATTTCACATATGTAGTTAAGTTTCTGTTTAATTGATATGACTACAATTCTTTTTATTCCATTTACTTCACATGTTCAGTAATATTGTTAGTGAAATTAAATTGTACAATGATTTGTAATCACATTAGCAACTTAGGTATACATAGGTATAAAAAAGGCACTGGAATAAATTCAAAAGCAATAAGGAGTACTTAAATCGAAAGTCATTTCAGACAAACAAATAATTTTGGTAAATCAATATAAAAAGATAAAAAATTTAGAAAGCTAGTTTCAAATCAATTGTTGAACATTATCTTAGCAAGTAATAAATGTTGAATTGCAAAATTTTGAGATTATAAATCGTAAAATTACAATTTTAGCACTGGCATATAAAAACTTATATAATCATAATTCTTTTATAAATTTATCGTAAGTATATCTTTTATATTCACACGTGTTATCAATTATCTTAGTTTATATTAGTTATCTGACATATCCCAATTGTTTTCATTTTCATTTCGTTATAACTTATATATGATTCTTATTGTTAAATATTTTCTTATAAACTCATTTAAATCCATCTCTAACTATTCTGTGATAATGACATGTACGTGTGCTCATTACATTTATTATTGTCAAGGGATATTTGTGATTTTTATCTTCTCACCATCCATGTTACTGAAGTGATGTGATTTTTTCCTCATTTCATTATAACAAATACAATTTTTGCGATAGAAACGAGCCATTTAGAATATACATCATACAAAGTGCATTTAAGTGCTATTGTTGTTATATCCTAATTGCAATTGTCACTACAGTATATTACAATTCGTTCGTTTCGGTTGATACTGATGATAGTGATATATTTAGATTGATATTTAAGGAACACATTGAAGCAGTGTGGGCGTTGAGTGCGCCTGCCACCTTTGGACAGGATATTTATAAACCACGTCCGGTGTCAAATTCGATGAAATTAATGCAGATCGGGCGTGTAGCCGAGGTTCTTCCGTTGGAGGAAAAGATGAATCTCTCGAAAGTTTGGCCGATCTGACTCATTGCGCTGCCAGCACTCGCACATCAGGTCGAATATCTCCTTCGGGCAGTTGATTGGCACGCTTAATAGCATCTGAAATTAATTGCGAACAGAACAGCGTTATTAAACACGTTTTAATTAATGTCGCTTTGTGTGCTTTCGAAAATTAATTGCTTATTGTTTTATTATTCATGGCTATTAAACACATACGAGAATTTATATGTGTGTGCAGGTGTTGTGTGTATTTGTGAGCGGAGTTAAAAAATGAGTTTTATTACTCCTTTTGTTTTCACATTGGGCAGGTGTGACCTTTACATGAAAATGTTTAGTATATCAAATTGTGTTTATACAGTTTGTTATATTCGTCTAGCTGGAATTTTTATTGCTAAAAACTAGTGAAAAGCTTACTCACATGTTTGCCATTATCTTGATAGAAATGAGTGACATTTTCGATAACCTTCTCGTCGCTCAAATCTTCAAACGGCTGTTCCCTGGCGAACGTCAATATCTCCCAGAGCGTGACTGCGAACGACCACACATCGCTTTTCATCGTGTATTTGCCCTAGAAAGAAAAAAAAAACACAACGTGTGACGTTCCGCAGTGAGCACAAAAACAAAAAACCAACTAAAGCAAAAAGCTCGAGAGACGCCGCACAGCAAATAAACTAGCGCTAAACGAATGATGTCGGGAAAACCTCAAGCGCGCTTAGTTTGCCAAACTCGAGGTTGTTGATGGTGAGTATTAGTTAATCGAAGCAAATCGAACCTAATCGGACTAATCGAGAGCGGAGGCCAAAGTCGCCGACTTGAAGTCGTAAGCGAGTAAGGAAGCAGGGAAGCGCATTAAAGATCTCGGCTGGGCTTAATGAACGGCGATTGGATTACGCGAAGATTGGACTCGCCGGTCACAAAGTGGAAAGTTCGCTCCTTACCAGCAGCACACTCTCCCAGGCCATCCAGCGGAGAGGCATCGGACGCCGGCCGCCGTCAATCGGGACACCCCCAACGACGCCGCTTGCGATTTGACAATAATCGTGTGCGTATGCTTCTCGATAGGCGCCCAGGTCGCTGATCTTTATCTGATATCGTGGATTCACCAAACAATTCCTACAAAAATAAACAAGAGTTATTAAGTGATAATAATAGTACGAGAAATATTAATTTATTTTATTTCCAACAGCAAGTTATTTCCAACGAACAAAGCAGTGAAAATAAAATTTAGCATCACGCCTGTCGTCGCGCCATAAATAAATCAAGCAATTAATAATTGCAGCGTGTTAAATGAAATAAAATTGGGGGCGCGCTGTAAAGTTGTGTAGAATTGTCGGGGAGCGACCTGTCAAACAATAAGTTTACTTCGTGTACTTGAAGGAAAACGTGCGCGTTGAAAAGCAGAATTTTAAAGCAGTAAATTGGGTAATTAAAGGCAGAAAAGGGCGCGTTCGAAATAAATAAATAAAATGTTCATGTCATACAGTGTGTCTCGTTTCGTTCTTATATAAAACAAAGCAAAACGGGGAATTTGAATGTTTTCCAAGTCGTATTTTGAAAAGGATTTAAAAGTGGTCTCTACAATAAATTCAATTTTAGTTGACTCGCTAGCTAATTTGCTTGCACCTCAAACCGACCCTCTTTCTTTCTAAGAAAATTAAGATTTCAATTAACCAGCCCATATTTATGCACAAGGGGCTGCCTTGCAAAGAAGTACGGCGTCGCGCTGCCGGCTTGTCACGACACATTCGGCCTCAGTTAGTCCTACTCCTTCTTTCCCGCGGGTCCTTGCACACACGACGTACACGCAGCCAACCCCTTGCCGCACACCTCACCGCTGTTCAAGACGAAATCCTTCGCTCGTAAAACGCGAGCGTATTTTAATTACCCGCCGTTTGCCATATAATAACCGGGGTGAACCGTTTTCGCTACTAATAAGTCCTGCCAAACTCCCGGGTGCGATACGACCGACCGACTGGTGGTAATGGAAAGTACGCCCGACAGTCGTCAGCTAAACACTCGAAACAACTTCATAGTAAGTAACTAAGTAAGTATCTAAGTACATGCAAGACAAATAAACTTTAATTTAATAGCGGGGCGGCTCGGGGACGAAGTTCATTACCTAATCAAAAATTCTCCAACAATTTAAAATTTAAATGTAACATTTTTATATTACGGTAAATATTTGTAACTGTTTACCTGGTTGCTAGATCCCTGTGAACATATCGATAATTCTCCAAACACTTCATCCCGGAAGCAATCTGCGTCGCCATGTACACCAAACATCCGTAACTGGAAAACAAACACTTGAGTCAATCGCTTCCTCCCATCGACAGCGTTCCAATGCTGGCAATTACAATCAAATAAACTCGGATCATCAAAGTCCAAATTCAAACTGGCAGCAAAGACAAACATTTGCCGCATTTGCTACAATCTCGTTCAGAATTTGAAGGAAAACTTGGTAATGGGTTGCAAGGCGCTTACCTTAAAGTATTAGCACCAGAAGTCAGTGGGGTGGTCGTTTCCGCCACGTGCTCTTGCAAGAACTGACACAAATCGCCCATCTCGTAATATTCGCGCACAGCACATATTGGCTGAGAATCCAAACGACCGCCCAGTAGCTGTGCAATATTTGGATCCTTGAGGCGAGCTAACGAACGCACCTCCGTGTCGAATTCCTTGGCGAGCGCTTCCACGCGCAGGGAATGCACGACAACCAGCTTGGGATCTTCGTAGGCTTTCTGCATCTTGCACAGGTGGTAGTCACCGAAGCGACTTTCGCCTAGTTTTTCGATTATCTGTAATTGGTCGTAAGGGACCATCTCAACAACGACATCTTCCAGCTTGGGCAGTAGCATGGGCTGCTGGTGATCTGGACTCAGCGGTAGCAAAAAATGTCGACTCAATTTCGAACGCAGTGAGTCCGATGGCGTGAGCGGCGGTGATTCCATATTGAGATTATCGCGAATGTCGTCGGTGGCGTAGTAGCCGCTCGGCGGGGGTGGAATCGGCGGCGCCTTAGGCAAGAAACTGTGTATTGACGGCGTTGCGTGTATCGACGTTGAGGTAAAATCGCGGCCCATGTGCGGAGTTGCGTAATCCTGGCAGATCACATCGGGAACTTCTGAAATTAAACAAATTCAACGAATTTGCAAGTGGAACATTTATTAAAATGAATTTTGAAAGCGGCGTAAATTGTGCAAATATCCGACAATCAGTTTATTTGGAGGATTGTCTGAGTGGCGTGTTTTATCTGTTTGCATAAAGCGTCGAGCACGTTTACGCCGAAGTAAGAGCAAACACTCTCCGACGTTAATCCGGCGCCATTGCGGGACGAGCAATCAGACAGGTGGAATTAGAACTTGCCAATATCGTTAAAACGACAAAGCTGCAAGCTTCCAGCCGACACACATAAAATCTTGCAAAGCAGGCGAGGAGACGATTTAAATGCCAGTCACTTACCTGTGTAATCTGGACTGTGCGGATGATGCTGGGAAAGCCGATGCTCCCGAATCTGCTGCTGTTGCTGAGGATACTGTTGCGCTTGCGGCTGCGAAGCAGTGTAAATCGGCCGCAGACTTTCTTGATACAACACCGCCTTATCACATTCGTCCATCTAAGCACACAATAAAACATCTTACATGTTGTAGCTGGGCCAGCAGTAAAAGTTAAGCGCTTGAGTTTTATTTCAAATTAAACAAGCTGGTGTAAAAACGTTAATGATGACTAAACGCAGTCTTCGGCTGCGAATACGAGAAGAAAGCGTAGGATGTACATTAAACTATTAAATGGAAGTTAACGGCTTACCCGGAATGGAAAGGGAAGGATGCGGCCTGAAAGTAGAGAAAGATGGGCGCCGGCAGAGAAAAGAAATCTGTCGGCGTGATAAGCGCGCGTCGCGACGCGTTAAAATGCAACCTGGGCTCGTTATCTTAATAGCCCTCTATTGTGTAATATCAGAGGCCGAGGTGGCGCCCTTAAAGCGGAAATTAACGCAGTTTGCCCGCCCCTTTTTTCTGATGCTTCTCGTGCTTTTTTTACTCCGATAAAGACGCCAATGGTCTTGTAGATTTGCACGACAAAACGTAAAGTAAATGAAACGACGTGCAAAAGGTGAAAAGAGACGGCGACCACGACATATCCGTTATGTTTCTCCTTTACACTCCGTCTGTTGATGAGCGTGTTGACGATGTCATAGGGCGGTAACAGTCATGTTTGTTTACGACGCGTGTCTAGCCGTCGAAAAAAAGAAAGACGCAAACAAAGGAAATTAAGGAGTGTACGTTGTACCTTGTGATCGGCATCGTAACGCTTGATGTCATCTCGTTGAATCGTCGCCGAACGCGTCGCATTCAACTTGATGCGCTGATTGCGGAAAACGATGAAGACGATGGCGCCGACAAGCAGTAGAATGACAACGGTGAGTACACCGATCACGAAACCAATGTACGGCTTCGTTTCGTTGCCGCTTCCGGCCGCATCCGCATTGCTTCCGCTCGCGCTTCCGCCTGGATGTCGATTAAAGTTTGTCTTTGCAGATATTGTTTTCACCTCGTCCCTCTGCAGCGGATACTCGCGGCCCTGATCTTGATCGTCGTCCTTGTACTGGGTGTGCTCACCCACGTAATTGTGATCGGGGATGTTGTACTCTGACTCTGGTATCGTGTCTTCCTCACCGGTCGTGTAATTTCCGCTTACCACCACTGTGAACAGAGCAAAAATAAAAAACAATTGTGTATAAATTCGACATACTGGCGACAAACCACCACGTCAATATTTTTTGTTTGGCACCGACCGCAGTGTAATTAATTACTAAATTTGCATCGATCAAAATCTCAATTCGAGGCTTATAGTAAACAGCACTTAGTTGTGCGGCGGCAGGTCGTGGTTGCACGACCAGCGCTTAAGTTGGAACGTAAAATCGATGGGGCGGTCGTGGAGCTAAGCAGCATAGTGGACTCTCTCATGCTTCAGACAGTTTTGATTTATTTGATGGAGATTAATGCGAGCGTAACGATTTACCATTTTCGACTGCAGCCGCCCGAACAACTGCCCGCCGCCAACTTGGAGCGCACTGGAAGTTATTCGCCCTGCTCGAAGTGGTCGTGCATAGCGGCGGTTTGGCACAGAAGGTGAATGCATCCGAGCATAACAACAATACCTCAGAACCTTACCGAACAGTCGTTTCGTCATATATATTTTTGGATAGCAATATTGCTACTGCAAGAATGCGAAACAATCGTTCATTTACCTATTTCCAAATCGAATATGTAGTTTGTTCTATAGCTACAGCAAAATTGGTTTCTGGTTATTATTTTCGTGATTTTCCGCTCAGCGATTTTATGTTTCTTTATTTATCAAGAAATCAAAAGCGCTACTCGCTTCAGTTTCATTGTCGCACGTATTTTGAGATTCTCAAGTGAGACTTACCGGAATCAAATGATATCTCACTGAGGAGAATCCAGCGGGATGCAAAATACAGTTGTAACTTGATGAATTTCCCAATGCGATTGTGCAGCTTTATGGTGACATTGCGTGCATGCTCAAGAACCAAATCCGGCATATAGGAGAAGTGCACAGGTTCTCCGTTATACACGTTTCCGCCAATGCTGATGAAAATTTTTGCATGTGAAAATACCTGCGAATAAATTAATGGTAATAACATCAGCTTCTTATTTAATGGTATAAAAATGTATGGATACATGTTTAGTTATAATACACAAAATGTAAAGCTTAAATGGAATGTAAAAGTTCCAATTTGGAATGTTTTTATTGTTAAAAATAATATGTTCGTCGCAGAAAAAGAAAATTACATTGTATTGCTAGAGATTTGTTACTCTTTCATGTGTCTTTTGTGTACGGTCTGTGTACCATACACAATTTGATACTTTTCAGCCCTTTTTTCGGCGCGAAACGCTTGGCATGTTTATGGCCAGGACTGTAGTCCTACAACCTGATACAATACGGCCTCCTTTCTGCACAACATCGCCGCCTTTTTGCTTTTCCATCCCATATCTTTGGCTTATATAGTTTTCTTCGGCGCCATGAAATGGCCGACCATTACGCCGGTGTAGTCGTGATAATATAAGGGTAGTAGTCGCACGATAAGAATGTACTCATCGCTAAGGTGAGCGACACTGTATGTATGTGTATAAAAAGCATGGAAATAAATAGAGATAAATGTAATACCTGCACATCTTTGGTGAATAGATTGTTGGTGTGTAGGTGTGCAGCGCTGAAATTTCGTACTTTATCGAATTCGAAAACTAATTCCAAGGGATGTCCTGCCCAGCCGGCCGTGTCGTTCCGCCATCCGACCCATTCGTACGCTAGAAAATTGAAAATTTCCAACGTTTCACCACACGAAATTCTTTTATGTATCGACGCATAACATAAAATTGTTACTTTTCCCATCGTCACTACCCGGACACAAAAAATCGGAAGTGCGCAGAAATGGCATAAAAATATAGCAACAAAGGTATTTGAACAAAAAATGAAGCATACCGGAAGGTTATATTATAGCTCTCCCACTGGTACAATATTGCAATGACTGTGAGTTGAAATAGTATTGCAATACCAAAATGATTTTTTTGTGACTTAAAATGCATAATCGTTGTGAATTTAATGAAACACATAAAAATTGAATGGTTTAAATTATGTCCAAGTACAATAACGCTCATACTCAATAATATCGCTTTGAAACAGTTTGCATTGTTAGGTTCACAATACGTCTCAGCAGCGAAACTCTTGGATCATGATCAGGTGCACACAATAGACTCCGTTTTTGTGATGTGTTCTCACAGGATTGCAATACAATTCGAATATATGGAGCTTATAGAGTATGCATGAATGCAGTAACCGCCAGGTAGCCATCGAAAGAGGGTGCAAACATAGCAGACAAACAAATGAAAAAAACAGTTTTTAGTAGTGCTCAAGCGTTCGGAAAGTTCAAGCTCGGAAGGTTATTTTTTGCACGCGTAGTCTGGACAATTTTTTAACGTCCTAGCACTCAACCGGCACTAATATTCGTACAGGTAAATATCGTCTACCAAAATATAGCCTTTTTATATGCGACCTCAACATATTGATTTACCAGTAAAGTAATAAAATTCGACGGGCATTTATAATTCATGCTGTCGCCTATTTACAATTAGGACGAAATGTTTAATATTCGCTATGTTCAAAATGGATTACAGAGTAAACGAGCGTTTCTGCTGGCGGCAACAAATAAACCCCCACCGCCGGTTTCCCCTCATTCCCAAAAAGCATTGGTTTTAACAAATAGTGGCTGTGAGTAAACGCTAGCAACTGACTGACTGACGACGGCAAGCCGAACAACCCGAACGAAAAGCTGTGTCATTCCATTTCGTGCTTCGCGCTTGCGAATCCGGCGTACGTACACAACTCGTTGCATGTTTCTTGCTGACGACGCCATTATATTGCACACCAACTAGCAACCACCGGCAGCTTTCGCTTTGGCGGTAGTTAATAGTGCTCCGGCGTGGTAGCTGCCGCCGCCTGCGTAAGTGTGCGTCGGAGCAACATATTGACAAATGAAATTGAGTGCTGTTGTTTGCCGTTCAAGTTGTTAACGCGCCGGCACCGTGTGTTCGATCTACTTTACTACGCTCGCAAGTGTCTGTCGTGGCAGGCTGGTGCGGATGCGGGCGAGGATCGCGCGAAACCGGAACGATTCATGGGTCTTTAACTACATTTAACTACGCGCGCTGCCGACACGATGGATTTGTTTTGGCACCGCGCGCTTTCCAAGAGCCAAAAACGTTTATTTGGTCCTGCATTATGTGTTTGGCATTTGGCATGCGAGGAAGGATAATGAAAATTTCATCTGCGTGTTCACCTGTTTGTTTTTTTGCTTTTCCGGAAATAATATTGAAGCCCCGGAATCTGCATGCCAGTGCCATGCAAATAACATTTGTTTCTATGTTTCAATATCACGTTTACGGCGCGTACACGTGTGTCGCTTATTCCATACGATATGACTCCGCAGAATAGAATCGCCATTGCTGGTGGCCCGGATGGCGCCAGAGGACAAAAGATCACAAAAGACGCGCTTCGGGGAGGCAATGGGAAGCGTGCAAGCGGCGCGAGCAAACAACAAATGCTACAACGGCCCACACGACGAGAGGAAGTAATATAAATGTAAATCGGGTCACCGGCCCCTTCACTCTACCGGGAGTGTGCCCCTCGCCCCCACACCTTGACCCCCTCCAACTGGATGCGGACAGTTTAAGGCACCTTACCTTTACCGTGACCCGTGTCTAGCCTGAAATTGTCCTGGCCCTTTCGCCCGTCCACCAATTGTCCCAGACCGTACGTCAGCATGCCGCCTTCCTCCTTGCCGTCGTACGTCCTGTCCGATAAATCCATCTCCGGGCCGCGCTTCAGTCCTTGCGGTCCCGCATAGCTGATTAATCCATCTGCAACAACAAATTGAATGTGAACAAAAATCACCAGGGGTGATATATTCCGGTGCGCTGGATATCTATATTTTAAAGAAGTGAGGATAACGTAAATAATGCATAGCGGTGGCCTCTAGTGAGCAGGGTCTCACTCAGACATGCGGCGCTACATTTTTATTGGCACCATCGCACCAGAAGAGCGTCGTTGCGGGACAATGATTAATCGTCGCAAAATGCATGATTAATGAAACGAACAAACGGGCAACTTTAAAGAATAATTAAGCATCAGGTGCGCTGTTAATTTTCTTAATAATTTTTAATCGCCGGCGGCCATAAAAGTTGTTCAAAAATGCAAATAAACCGAAATGACAAAATGTCATCTCACAAAAACTCAACTTAAATACCACAGCGTATTTCAATTGAAATTTATTAAAATAAATATTTAAGTATTAAAGCAATAAAAGTAATATGATCAAAATAAACAATAAAGACGTTTAGCAAATGAATTACAAGAGGCAGAAAGACGGGCGTCGACGAAGCTACGCAAAAGTCGTTTCGGTACTAATGCAGTAAATTAATTTATCGCCAACTTTAAATAATGAAAACCCTCCTTTCGCTCATTTAACGATACCCACGAGGCACAACACGCTGCGCGGTAAGAAAGGCGGCTTCGGGTCGATGCCACCGAAGGATGAAATAGTGATGCTAACACAGTGCGTCGCTTGAAGATATTTTCTAGTCGCCGTGGTATTATTTCTTTTAGTTTATGTTATTTGCGGTAGGAAAGCCGCGGTGTTGAAGGAAATAAAAGATACTCGAGGTTGCCAGTCAGGTGAGGGAAGGGGGAAACCCGCGAGGCGGCGGATTGAAACTTGGAGCGTATATTTCATTCTTTATCCTTGTTTGTGGGTAGTTTTGCAAGTTTTTCTCGACTTTTTCCGGGTTATTCTGGCGCCTGGCGCAAAGGTGTTTTAGTTTGTAATAAGTTCAACTTGTGTTATTTTTAAAATATTACTTAAAAATATTATTAATTATTTTTTGAGAAAATTGTGTTTATATTATGTTTATGAACTATTGAAAGATAAGCGTTTTCGAACATTATGTTGCGTTTACGCCACTTTATCCCATAAATATTTGAAAAATTCAATTTATCTGCTAAATGAAACATGAAATGATTCAATTGCGGTTACTACCATGATGTTTTTATAATACAGCAGTTACGGTCACGATTTGCTCAGCTAGAAGCAACAACCGCAACAACGCCAACATCAACATCTGTTTCAATTTTATTATATCAAAGCACAGTGGGCCCGGACCGGGACTCTCACTTTGTATCACCCGACACCCTGTGCGCGCGTTTCGTGCTTGTTCAGCAGGATAATAGCCACACACGACTATTATTCCCCTTGTACAAAATGTTTTTATAACAAGTGATTCTGGCAACGCACCAAACTCGACCGCAGCGTCGAAATTAATGAATTACCATCATGATGTAAACCGAATAACACTTTTATCTAAATGAAAAATCTATTCAATGAAACTTGATTGAATTATATTGGAATCCAGGAAGGAGACCTTGATTATACATTCTGATGAAGGTATAAAAGCAGGGGCGCAACGTACCTGTGGATTTACAGCCGACTAATTCCACTCGCATGCACACCGTCCTCACGTGATCGCTGTAGGGCAGGAGGCGAATTTTGGTGGCGATAACGGGCGGTTCTAATTTTTGCTCCACCACCGTGTACGTGTTGGTGTTACCAGAGAGCAGCTGTAACACACAAAAAAAAACGAGCAAGTGAGAAAGAATTATAGCCGACGTTCTGTTTTACATTTTGTTTTATTTTTCTCGCTTTTCGCGGCATTCTAATACAATGAGGTAATCTATCTTTTATAAGGTACACGAAATTTATGTTTGCGAACGTTGGCGGAATATAAATTTTTCGCGAATGTTCTGATTTTATTGAATGCAATCCAAACAAAATTATAGATATAGATTTAAATTAGCCTGCGGGACGATAATATATCCGAGTGTTTGCCTTAATCATTCATTTCATTTTCTGGGTTGGTGGAAAGCTATGCGTTCATCAAGGACCCGGCGGCATTAAACGCGCATTCGAGTATAATACGCACAAATTACATGCATACGTGTCCGCGTACCCGTTTTAGGCCGGTTCACACCCTTTCCATTCGTGCAGTTAGTCCTTTTGAGGGTCCGAATGCAAATAGTGCTTTTATAATTTTTCGCTCATTAGCACGTACGCGGCCGTTTGTTTTGTACACACAAGAACGTTATCAACGTCCGCACGAGGCCATTTTCCACACAAAATAAAAAAGAACTATGCTGACGGTGCCACGCTGATGTAGCTTTTTCTTAATCTTGAATGATTTTCAGAGTACCACATTTGCATAAACCAATTTATTTATTTTACTTCAGTTTTGCATTTTCTAACAAAGTTAAAACAAATTATCTGTATTATTAATATTAATATATTAATATTTGTAATATTAAGTTAAAATTACTTGTGAAAGTTAGTTTTAACGATGCTTATGTAAAAGTTCATTTGTGGCTACAAAAAGAAAGCAGTTTGTGATGAATCTGTTGTCAAAATTTAATTTCATCTGCCTGAACATACTGTTCATCAATTAAACTACACTCAAAGCGAAAAACGACACCCGGCGACAGTCATAAAAACCTACTCGACTTAATGGTCATTTCATTTTACTGGCTAAATAAAACGAACAAATCGCCACATCCTGATGGTTTATGGTTAATCTTCATTAAGCGGATGCCATCGTAGTGGCTTCATGTCACACATCAGATGCCCCACACCGTATGCATTATCTGCATTCCGTGACGAAGAAAACACGTATGATGCTTGATTTGGATGAGAGCAACGTACGCATTAAGCTCATGCTTACAATATGCTCAATACAATTCAATAATATCTGCGAGTGCATATAAAGAGCAGGAATCGCTTGAAACGATGGTGCAAGTTGATAACAAACCTCGCAATGGATGCGAAAGGAAGCTGGAAGCATGGCGTGTGATAAGTTACACGTTGCTATACAAAGTTATATACAAATCATCAATAAATCGCGGCATTCACAGTCGTAATTAAAATACAGCATAAAAATGTAGAAAATATCATCACAAATTTTAGTTTAGTGCTAAATTGTTAATTGCTTGATTATGCTATTTGTAATAATTATTGTAGGTACTGATTTGCACACTTTGTATATGCGTGGTCCATTATGCGTTGCTTAATGTTTCATTTGAATACGCGATTGTTCACTGTTTTCAACGCGTGTGCGCGCGCGCAAATGCAGAGGTGATATGGATGGAAGAGTGGCTTTTCAGCTGTGACAACCGGAAACTGAAATGCTGGCATGGTAAAACGGTTAAAGCGCTCGGTGAAAGTTCGGCCAACATATTCGGGCATTCTCATTAGAACTAATGGCTCGCCGCTTTATGCATTATGCACTCTGCCATTTTTGGCGTAATTTTATCGCGTATTTGAAAATAAATTCGCATATATCATCGGTTATAAAATGCATAGTTTTCAAATGCCGGGGCACTAAAAGTGTAATTTCATTTGGACCGCTTCACAGCGGTTCAATATTTCACGTCTAACGCCCCTCGCCATAGATTAATCGGGGCTAGGAATGTTGCCATTATTCTTGGATTTCATCAGCACTGTTCTAGTTTAACACCAGAAACTGAAAGTTGACAAATATCAAAATACATAATTTAAAAATTTAAAGATAAATTTTATTAACTTATTTTATTTTTGTGATAAATGCAAAATTGTTTTGACCGGAACAAGTTGAAATTTACTAAAGAATTAAGTAAAAAATTTACGAGACTCATTTTTATTCTTTTTATGGAAGCCTTCAATAAATGCCTTTACAGTTTTTGCATTTTTAATTTAATTTTACTATAACCAGTTTAAAAATTTAATTCAAGCGGAAGTTTTAACCTCAACAAAACAAACACGATATTCTCTCGCGGGTTGCCGGAGCTATAAAAATTAGTTTCATCAATCTTAACTGAAAATGTTGTTTATTCTTGTATCCATAAAAGAAAATTGGCTTAAAAACTTAAATATATTTTACTGCGTTCGTTTGGCCCTCGTTGGCCGCCGGCAGCTTCGTTCGCATGCATTCGCTGCAAATTTTATTGCCGCTCTAGAATGCGATAGAATGCAAGCGGTAGCTTGACAGCCCACCCCAAACGCGCCGGGTAGTAAAACTAAAAGACTTTGAAGGCGAATTTATTTATGCGACCAGTGGAGCGGAAAGCGATTACGGATTCGAGGTTTCTTTAAGAGTCGTCGAGTTGGATTAGCCAAATCTGGTATTATTAGCGTCTCTAAGTGGATGCGCTGCTTCGGCTGCCGACAAGCGCGTGTTCCACTTCCGCCATGCGCTTGCCGTTTGCATCTTCTGCGTTCGTGCCTTTCTTTTATTTTTCATTGTCTGGCAACTTACACTATTTGTTTCAAAAAATTGCACTACTTGTTCTAAAATCGGCGAAAGACAAAATAATATTTCATGACAATTACAAATTACAACTGCGTAAATTTTCACCTTATACAGTGTTACTGTACTGTCTTGATACCTCACCTAAATTTGGAGTTTAAATTATTTGAAGTTCGGGCACATAACTAGGTATTAATGGTGAGAGGCTTAAAAATAGTAGTGTTGTTTTTAGGAAAGAATGCAATTGTTTCGGAAACTAAGAAGATTTAAAATAAGAGCTTTTGATAACGGATTCACTAATAAGCAGCCGCTTTTGTTCTTTTGGACGGTCTTCAGTTAAGGATTTGCTGCCGAACGCTTGTCATTGCCATCATTATATGCCTTCATTTTTTCTTGCGCAAACTTTTCTCGTCTCACAAAATGTTTTTCTTTTACTCGAATTCAGATTTAAAAAGCGCTTGAAGCGCTTGGAAAACCATTGAATAACAAGCGCTGTCGGTAGTGAGGGCAGTGCCGCTAGACGAAACGCCATTGCAAAAAAACAATGAAAACCAGAAATAAACCAAAAGCAAAGACGGAGCGGGTTGAAGCAAAACGAAAAGCGAGTCGCGTTGTGAGCGCGTTATTATTCCGACATTCGAGCGCAAACAAGGCGGGTGTCGGCGCTCGTGCCCGGCGACGCCACCACGAGCCGACCGCGCCGCATCGGACCGGTTCATGCAAACAGATGTTTCGTGCTTAATCCACGCGCAAAAATCCATCGTAATACTTGAGTAAAATCTGGAAAAAAATTGCGCGCAAAATCTGATGCAAACGATGTAAACCACACGGCCCGACGCGCCGCGCAAAACTCAAAGCCTCGGAAAATATGAGAATATCCAAACAAAAATTACATCTATCCATCCATCCACCATCCACGAGGCGGTAAACAAAAGATTTAATTACCGAATATAAATATTTGTAAACGCGCCGTATAAAAAGCGTACGACTAGCGTGAATCACCCAAGAGAAAAAACCCCGGAGAAAAACTGAAAGAAGATTGAGAATTTTACGTGATGGATTTACCATAATACAAGAGCAAGGGTTTTTTGTGGGCCAAAAATGTTGAGCCAAGATTTGTTTTGATAGGTTCCTAAAACATTGCCATGGCGCGCTTGTTTATGTCTTTGCACCGAGTGTGTCTGTAAATATTGCGTCGGTTGAATCTATTTCAGTGTCAAAGTGGCACTTGCAAAGCGGAGGTAACCTGTGTTTTTCAAATCATAGCGCGGATGATGTTTCAACGTTTGGCACGACATCAGCAGGCATCGCTTTCCATGTGATGCGGTGTCCATGGCAGGAACTCCACCCTCACGTAGATAGGTGCTGAGTTTGTACATTCGCCAGGAAAACGCGCATTCGACACTCGGTCACGTTGCTCGAGAAAACGAATTGGCCGAAACAATCTTTGAATACCAATTTTTTGTTGGAATGTTTACTACTGAAGTATCCACGGCAACATGGTGACTATAGTTGACCTAGATCTTAAACTAACACTTTCAAATTATTAATTTTATGAAAACCTAACCACATTTGAAAAAAAATTTAAATATTATTTGCAAAGTAAATAAAATTGGTATAAATTCAAGTATAAAATTTATTATTCAAAATCAATTAATACTAAAATCAAAATCAGGTGCAAGATTAATCCATTTTGTCATAGCATCATGTTGAATGGAACGAACTGGTTTCTCATACATTTTACATCGACCGTCAACGGTAATTCGCAGTGTTTCACGTTTTTAGTGTGAATCCAGTACTAATTCGATTTCGGAGTGCCCACCGCGCAAGCGAGAATGAATAACAGATAACTGAAAATTGGCATCGATGTTTATTCAAATACTGGGAATTACTCGCAATTATAAAACCGGCGTGTGCTTTATAAATTATTTAATCCAATTTTCATTTGGGTTAGTTTCGGATTTGAGCAATACCACGATTACCGAATGGCTATCATTGTGGAATTGTTTTGCGGCTGGTGGTGAATATTAGATATTGATTATTACGCGTTAATCATTACAATAAAATGGTTAAAAAATAAAAAAAATATTTTTAAAATTTTTTACGCACTTTTACTCACTAATTGTAAAATCAACGATAATTATGTTGCAATAGTAATCTACCGAAATATGAGAAGTCGTCTGCTAATGCTAAAAGTAGTAAATCAAATAATAATGACCATTAATAAATAATCAGTCAGCGCACTTACGGTCAATTAGGAATCGAACGTTCGATGTTCGTCGCGCCTCCAAATTTGCGCGAACCGTCATGCCACACGTAATTGCATCGAATGCACCACACCGCATTCATAATTTGCTACGGTAATTACCCCACAATCCGTACACTAATTGCACCTAATTACCGATTAAGTCACAGACGTAACAACCTCACAGATTAAAGTTTATTAATACTGATTATACACTCTCGCTGCATGAATCTATATCGGAAAAGGTACGCGGAAGTGGTAAGTGGCTGCGGAGTAATTTATGCAAAGTACATTCTGCACTATCGAGTTTTTTTTTTCTCTCGCACGTAATCCCCAGTGTTATTCTTGCTCCTTGCACCTTTTAACCTTTGCGTTTATTCAACGATTCAACCCATTACCGTCAAACTTCCCCGCTCGACTTCCAATCTTTAACTTTGAGCACGTTGCGCGCTGAAAGCACCATGGCAGTAAGAAATGCTTAGTTATTACGGATTCACAGGCGAAACTAAAAAGTAAGCGTAAAACACCACGTAATACTTTTAAGTTTGTCTTCTTATATGTTTGCCCGCCTAGCGGATTGGCTCACGTCCGCTTCCGGTTCTCGCACGAGCTCGCATAAAAGTGGAAAACTAAAACGAGCGCGCGCGAGTGTAAAACTATTTGCGGAACTTTAATTACTACATAATGGAGTCGAAGAAGGTGTTGAAGTTTCCTATTTACTTTATCCGAAACCCTCTTCTTTGGGGGTCTTTATCCTAACTAAGTAACTTCACTCCGATCCGCCCACGCAGACGCCAACCCGGCCGCCGCTATTAGTTCCACTTTCCAGTAAACTACACTCGACTTCCAGCATCCTTCGCTTTACTTTTACCGCCTCCACTTTGACTTATATTTGTTTATTTACCCATGTACACCACACGTATTTACATTGAAGTCAAACGCAACATTTTCGGGCGGAGAAAGGATAAATTGTAAATTTTGTTGTGGCAAATATTGTGGTATCATACGTACTTCTTTACTTTCTCGATTTTTCCATCGTGTCCACTTGACGAAACCAGGTCGCCAATATTCGATCATGTACTCCTCGGCATATTCCTGACCTTGCCCGTTGCCGAAGCGGCCTTGCGTGCGCACGCCGGTGACGACGTGCAGATCGTCCATGTTGATCTCCAAGTACTCCTTGGCGTCGCGCGACACCATCTGTCTAGGACACCAGGCGCCGCCGTTCTTGTCGTTTCTAAGTCTGAAATATATCATTTGCATATGAGACCTGCTCGTCCTGCAAATTGTCTAGTGGCGATAAAAATAAAAGGATGAATTTCCTACGTCTAGAAGACAAAGTTACGACTAGGGATATCATGCATCAATTTGTTAAATTGAGTTGAATAATATGCAAAATCAATATTTATTTTCTTTTAAAACTTGGGAACTATTTTTAGATTAAGTGGTGTGGCCATGCAAGTAACACAAATTATCTTTAACAAAAGTTTAACAAAAATTTCTAGACACTTGATGTAACCAGTTAAACCAGATAAATGAAGATGTGTAGTGGAATAAAAATACGTTGCGCCAATACAGGCTAACAACAGCTGGCACATATTGCTGCGGTTGTTTCGATTTTTTACTCAGCGTCTAACACAGTGAGTGTTAAATAAACACATTTTTTTTGAATTGAGTTTAAATAAGTAACTAATATAAATATAAAAATAAAAACAATAATAAAACCAAGGTATGTAAAATATAATATTAAATTAATTCAAATAGAATAGTTTTAACAAATAATGGAAGATACTTATACACTTTGTATATTGCGAACGGTTGGAAATGGAATATTTCCCAGCGTTGCTTTTATGAGAATTAGTATGAGAAACGAATACGTTTTCGAAAAGCGAATACATTGGCTATCGATAATTGCTCTTTGATAAGTTGAAAAATGCTGGCACAGTAAACGTTACGGCAATAAGAAGAAGCCAACTTGATAAGGGAAAGCAAATAAAAGTATACTTTTTCCTACTTGCAACATATTGCCAATGTGCATTACTCTATTTTCTTTCTATCCAATCAGAAAAGCTTGATGATGTAAAAAAATCTTTGTAAATATACAACGCACCCAAACAATATTAATAAAAGTATAAAAGAAATGAAACACAATAGAAACTTAGATTAATAAATCATCAAGCAATTACTGTTTTATTCTGTCTAAGGTTTGGGGTCAAAAGGTAATAAGTTAATTGTAATTTTCAGACAATTGGGCTTTGTGTACGGCGATTACTCATACTTTAATTTCGTTTTTTTTAGTCTGTCCAGGCGACAATACCACTGTTATTTGTTTGTCTGGCTTGGTTATACATTTAGTAAAATCACCTTTCTTTTCGTTTCATGATAAACGTTATTACTAAAAGTACCAAGTAATCAGTGAGGTGTATTATTGTTTTGTAATGCCATTAGCGAACAAATAAAAAAATTATTTTATCTGCATAATATCTGTATAGAATAATAAATAACAAAAATATTATTCGTCTGCAGGTGTGTTCAAATTCAGAAAAAAGTCAAATGTGTCTTAAATCGTATAGTAATGCATTTCAGTGTCAAGACCAGACGCGAAAGATCGACGCTAATGTTCCACATCGTCGGATTGCCAAAAAAAAAAACGAAACGAAACGAAAGTGAAATCGTTTCGCATCCGGCGGTCGTTTTTGCTACGATACACGACAAAACGCAACAACCGCACGTCCAGCTTCGACTGCTTGCCGACTCCTTGTGCCACGGTTCGTTTCTAACATCGGCCTAATCGTCGATACGAACCTTTTTTCGTCTCGCCAAAGCCAAATTCAACTTTTCCACCTTTTTGCTTTTGCTGTGGCTTTACAACCTTTCAGTAAGTATACACTACATTAACTACAAGGTTTATACGGGTATTAAACAAATAAATAAACCATGTCAAAACTTATTAAGAATATTTCTACTTGTTGTTGTTGTGGAGGCGCCGGGCATTCATTATTAAGACGGAATATATTTTTATTAAATAAATGTATTACTCTAGACAGTTTGTATATTATATATTCACATATATTTATGTAAGGCAGAATAAAATAGCAGAAAACCGTGAAATGTCAGAAGTCAGAAAAATTCGCTCGAATGCCCTCAAATAAGCTCGATATACTGCAGGTAATTTCTTGTATTATTTTGTATTTATAGACGCTCACGTCAAAACCACAACGTACAAAAATATTATTAATATTATAGTGGCCAAAACTTACCTTCCATGTTGTGGACCTACACTGCCCGAATCGTAGGCTGAACTTGCTGATATTTGCATATCTTTGATAGCGCCGGATTCCATTCCTAGTGGGCGACTGCATTGTCCTGAAAATTAAAAATACCAAATATTAAAATTTCAGCAAACACTTGTTATATATTTTCTTTGAAAAAAAAAAAACTTTGAAATGCTTTATTTTAGCATTAATACGTTTTAAATGTAGTTGATATAACGCTGTTGTTACATTTTAGATAAATATTTCTGTGTCAAAGCTCAAAGACACTTATACTACTAAAAACAAAATTCATAACCAAGTGGAAGGATACAGATAAGAGCGTATGCAGATTTCTACACATGACTGACACGAGGACAGCACTCTTGCGCTATTAAAGTACGCCGCGAGTCGCCGACTCTCAACTCTCCCGCATAAGATAAAATGAAAACATTAACATTGCGTCATGTTGTTATGTTATCCACCGTTTTGCTATGCTAAGCTATATTATATTACAATATCGGCGCAATGTGTGCGCCCCGTTCGCTGGGAAAACTAATGCGATGCAAGCGACATCTTTGCTTCGTCGATGTTTTCCTCTTCGACTCGCCCGTTTCAACAATACGTATTCACATTCGTAGTCTCATTCATACGTTTGAGCAAAATGTGTCTTATGCTCGTGTTTGGTTTTCCGCAGCTTTTCTATTGCGCCGTTTGCTTTGCTTTCGCCGCTGGCCTGTGCATCAGGAGTTTCCTATAGCCGTTGTCGTCGACAACGTGATATTTACTTAAAGAGATTTGCGTGTCGATCCGCATTCCCGTACCGTTCTCGTACCAGCACTATCCGAGTCACAAGTGGTATGTATAATGGTTCCTCGTATCGTCACAGTTTAAAACCGTTCCCTGTTTCGGTGTGTTTTCAAACGGTTTGTGTATTGCTGAAGTTATTGTGTGCGTAGTTGAATGTTAACAGTTTGTTGTGTCTGTTTCGATTAAAATAACTACAAACTACTTTAGGTAAAAGATTAAAATCACTTAGTCAAGTTACAAGTTGTTCTTGTGGAGTTTATAGAAATAAAATGGATTATGGAATAAAAAGTTGTAATTAAATAAATGTATAACGAATATAACTTTATACACGAATTGGTAATATATAAACACGTTTAAAGTCTTTATCAAAAATAGGTGGTAGCTTTTAATTCTAATTAGGTCGTTTTACTCGATTGATTGCCTCCTACTGAAACAAACTGCTAATCTGCATATTTACAATCTAGTGTTTGGCAAACGCAAGCGTTTCGAATTTGCAGCCATTCAAGTTTGCAAGGGTAATTAGGATACAATGAATAATTTAGTCCTCGGGCTTTCATAAATACTAATTACGGCAGCTTCCTTACGACCTCTGCACGGAACAGCGCTCCATGCGCGTTGTGCCATTGAATCGCATCACAAACTGTGCCAGTTTATCGTCGCCAGCAGGCTAAGGCAACATTCATCCTGTCTATCCAAAAAGTAAAGCATTACTCTTCTCGGTCTTCTTTGCCACCTCCACCAATGTGTTTCGGTGTGACATTATAAATGCTCGTCGAATGAACAACAAAACAAGAATTTCAATGTTTTAGTTTTATTTTTTTTGTTAATAAAAATAAAGAAATATTTGTAAATATTTGTGTAATTTGATCCACATTAAATTGGCTGAGCAGACGACACTGTTTGATGTTTACATTACTTTATGTCTGTATTATTTGAATGTCAATCACTTGTCTGCGATATTCCATTATTAGGTTTGCCCGACGTAGACGCATACAACATATGAAAATTTTCATATGCGCTAAGACGCGTGAAAGCCCCGAAGTCGCAAGACATAAAGCCGATCTCGGCGACGATGCGCAACGACGATGATGGCGATGACTAAAAGGCATCAATCGCTTTTCTCTGCTCGACGCGCGCGTGGCGGTGTTCTTTTCATTCGCTTCCGTCGAATGAGGCGGGCGCTCAACTCGATACGAATCTGAATCAGTCAAGGACTCCTCGGCGTTGACGACGAGCCGTCGATATTATTAGTCCTTCATCCGTCGACTGAGCGCAGCATGTCAAGCGAGTAAGCGCACCGAATTTGCTGAACGGGCTCGCGCGATCGAAACCGCCGAGAGAGGCATTGGCGTTTGGTTTGGCTCTTGGGTGTGTGTGAATCGATATGTGCCATGGCCCGACACCGCCGCTGCCGACGTGTCTGTGCGTGAAAGGCTTGCGGTTTACATTCGCGAATAGTTTGTTGTGCGAAGCGCACCCGCTTTCATTTCGTCGATAATATGCCGATGGCTGCGTGATGACAAATAACGAAATGAAGCTGAACGAGGAATATCAATTTGGTGTCTTGTACAAATACCCCTTTTGGAAATTTAGGCGCAAATCTTACATCGTCAAAATATTATTTATCTTGTAAAATTTAATTGGATTTTTGCCGATTGAGCCAGTAAATAACAAACAAACATTTTTAATCAAGAACAGACATAATTTTCGCAAATTTTGGGACATTAAGCACAGAAACCACATTATTTAAGCACTCAAACATTCATATTTCGGTATGAATTTATGCCTGTTCTAGTTTACTTAGATATTGTGTTCTGTTTAATGTCGCCGTTCCGTTCCGTTCCGTTTATTATTCCAGCGAATATTTAGTGCTTTTTTTAACAGTTTCGTTTCGTTTCCCTCTCAGCTGGGGCATCTCTGGCGCTGGCGTCGATGGCGGCGGCGAAGGTGGCCTTTTAGCCACTTGCGCTCAGTGTATATTAGATGCAGCCATCGTAAATCAACAAAAATGTGCGTTCGTTTTAAGGTTAAGAATGATTTATCTACGCAAAAGGCGCGCACCACCGACGCAACGCAAAACTAATACATAACCGACTACGACGGCGGCGACGGCGACCGATTCCTAGCAACAAACCGTCGTTCCAAACCATCCACGACATTGTACTGCGGAGTCACATTCAATCCCAAAGTCTAAGGCCAAGCGAGGTGCTTCTTATTTTGCGTTGCCATTGCACAAGAGGCAAGTTTACGTGAGTGTGTGTGTGTGTTATATGCGTGTAACCTGCACTTACTTGCCGTGTGCGCTTGCCTTATCGATTTAACGAAATCAACGCACAAACTGGTTGAATTTCGTAACCCATTTCTTTCACCTTCAGTACAAATCAGTGGTTTTGCTACAATCGTGATATCTAAACCCAATTACACAAAGTTTTAATTTTTTACTATTTATTTTTACAATTTATTTCACATCACAGGATTTGATTGGAAAATAAGAAAATTTTCGTTTCGGGAAATGGGCAAGAAATCAATTTACTAAATTTAGGATAGATTAGGATATTTTTATGTATAGAACAAATTCTATTTTGGAAAGTCTCGAAAAAGTATATTTCGTCCTTGAAACTAAAATACATCTAGATACATCTAAATACAACTGCCTTATTCAAAATAAATAATAGGTGTTTAAAACAATTCACCTCAATTGCGAATGTAATAGATATTTTGTTACTTTAACTGAAAAAGTTGATTTTGTGTTTTGTAAAAGTAACTCCAACTAATGCACTGATCTCATGGCAATATCAACTAAAATATTATTTGTTAACACAAAGTCGGAATGTAAACACGCTTATACAAAAAACGCTAAATTAAAAATAATAATGAGCGCTACGAACACGAAGAACCCAAACACGCACACGGCTTACATTCCGCATGGAAAAACTCAGCGGCGCAGAAAAATGAATGAAAAGATTTTAGGATTTGCGAAACATGTAGGCATGCGAACCGAGCATAAGGCGAACGTTTTTCGCATTAAAGCATTTTAATCCTCGTCACATATACCCGCCGCCGCGTCCGGCCATTGGGCACGGCGCAATTCTGGAAAGCGCCAAGTGAACCAAGTGAAAGTATTAGGTATATGCGGAAATATGTCGGCTTTGTTGTTCCCCGGCGCTGGGCGCGTGAAGGCGCCCGTGCATCCCTTCCTCCGGCGGAAGGGTTGTAAAGGGTCAGTTTTAATGCTTATATAAGCCAAAATCCTCGGCTTACGTGCACGTCCAGCAACGTAAAGGAATATTTACGAGTAGCAGCAGTGCACGCCGCCGCAGTTATACGAAATTTCGCAGCGGTTTCATAATTCCGCAATTAAAAATTCAATAGTTTTAACTAGGACTATTTAATTATATAACCCCCCGGAATTCACAATGCCTGCCAGCACATAAAACACACATATCCTCAGTGTGCGAACAAATCCGGATGATAAATGCATCTTTATGAATGCAAACATTTGTTTTATTACGTTTCGCTGGGATTATTGAAATTTTGATTAATGTGCTGTCACAATTAAAAAATCATTTCCGGTATGAACGTGCTAGTTTATGCTTGAATTGAAATGAATTGAATATTCAACAAATTTAAATTTATTCTATTGTTTTATTATCGGACCATGCCAGGGTACATCGACAAACAGAGAAAAAGGGGGATAAAAAGTGGGTTAATATAAAATATGTTAAACTAGGAAAAACTGGAACACAAACTAGTGCAATTGCACCGGAGAGCTATTAGTGCGGAGGCAGTTAATAAAGTGATTTATTTGTTTGGCGGATTATATGGCTTTGGGGTTTGCGAAATTGTGGGTATAAGGGTTTCCAGGTTCCAATCCGTTAGAGAAATTACTTCCGCAAATAAATCAAGTTCAATTAAGACTACAAGCATTCTGCAACTCTGTCTGCACTACAAATATTCAAAAAGTTAAAATTTTTGTAAAATATAAATAAACATATGTTTTGAACCTTCTACGACTTGAGTCACTTTCGAACTTAGACAATTTGTCCTTGCAAGCCGGAAATTATAACAATATTTATATGTGATTTCAAGATAAACTTAGTGCACTTTGTCGCAAAGTTTTCGAGCGCTGTGCGCCGGCGACGATGCGAAAGATAAATAGTTGTTGTGAGCCGGCGTTTCCCGTGTTTCTCATATTTCTTGATGTAAAGATACGGCGTTGAAATAAAGTACCTGTTTATAGTTAGCAGTTAGTGTACGAAACAGTCATACTCGGTGGGAAATCTTGTATCTTAACGAAGTTTACAC